CTTTTTGGCTGCAATTAAGTTTTTGGGGAAAATTTATTTTCGAAATTGGTATGAATGCTTTTTACCAATTTTGGGCAATAGAACTATAATCGACGGGCAATGCTAAATGTACTAAAGTTATTTGCTATGCGAAATATATGTATCACTTATCTAACGGTGAATCAAATGAAGTTGACAATCTTGCCTTAGGCTCTATAATTTTTACTAGCCGTTCAATTATCTCCAGGTGCAAAATTTCGATGCCTCTAGCATTACAATTTTAAAGTAATGATGTTACACGGGTTTTTTTTTATGAATGTTTTTGAAGCTTGAGTGATTATTTGACTGCCGAATGACTCGAGATTTTTTTATTTTTTTTTAAATATCCAGAAAGTCATAAATCTATTATACGACGATCAATTCGGTCTTAAATTTTCTAATCTGGTCAATTTACTCCTAAACCTTTTGACAATTTTTTAATATAATCATTTCGGCCAATATTGAACAGAAATCGCTGACGTGAAGGTTCAAATTGACCGGAAAAATTACATTGAAAAATTGTCAAAAGATTTAGAATTAAATTAGCCAGATTATATAAAGTTTACGATCGAATTTTCTGCTGTAGTATAAACTTGGGATTTCTTAAACAATTGTCCTAATTTTTTAAAGATCTTGAAAGGGGATCCAAACAAGAGCTTCCCCAAAGTGTCACGAAGCTCCCTAAATCCTGGGATAACTGCTCCCTTCCTCAATGACATTTCACAAGAAAAATTTAAAAATCAATTAACAGATTCTGTTTTTTACCGCATTTTTTTTTCAATAAAATAATACGAATTACCAAAGTCGGGCTTTCCATAAAAATCGAATATATATATATTTTTTAACCATATCTACTAAATAAATGCGCCCCACTTAGGGAGAAGCGCACTGCACCATAAAGTCAAAGCATATAAATACGACTGCCCAAGAAAGATGATGATGGTAGGATCAAGATTTCCAAGAAAGCAAAGCGCTCCCCCATCTTCTTCCGTCTCCACAGGCAAAGGCAAGGCAAGGCAAGGAAGCAACAACTCCATGTGCCGCTGTTGAATGATTGGACTGGACACAACACTCCTCCCCATCTTCAAGAAATCCCAGGTTTTGGTCAAGATCGCCGCCACCCACATCCAAGAAAGGGAGGAAGAGGGTGGAGGAGCAGGAGAGGAGGAGTGGGGGGGCCCTTGTTGTTGTTGGGTTTGAGTGGAGGGGGAGAGTGGGGAAAGATGAAGGAGAGCGGTGAAGGGTATGTGAGGGCGGATCAGATTGATCTGAAGAGCATCGACGAGCAGCTGGAGAGGTTCACCAGGGCCGCGACCATGGACAAGAGCAAGAAGGCGGCCGAAGGGGTAGGCGGGGGAGGGGGAGGAGGGGGAGGGGGTGAGGAGGCGGCGAGCGGGAACGGGGGCGCTGCCCTGGTCGCCAGCCTGTCGCTGCCGAAGCCGAGGAGGGAGGAGAGGCAGGAGTGGGAGATTGACCCGGCCAAGCTGCTCATCAAGTCCGTCATTGCGCGCGGCACCTTCGGCACCGTCCACCGCGGGGTCTACGACGGCCAGGATGTCGCCGGTGAGTCAACGGCCGGTCCGTGCGGTTTCCCGCCCCCGCCGGTTTCTTGATCGCGGGAATGCGCTTCAATCTGCGATTCTGGTGCCCAGAATCGTTTTCGTTATTATTTTTCCATTCTCGATGTCTCATATAGTTTATAATAACAGCTGATGTTGGGTCTCTCGAAGGTCATTTTTAGATGAGATCTTCCTTTTCATTTTTCCCTTCTTGAATAGCTTATCGGGTCTAGAAATGAATGGATTTTACTTGGTCCTCCCTGCCACTCGTATTTTGTACTTTAGGATACTACCCTTTATGTCTAAGCAGCAAGAGGATATGCGATGTTCTTGACACACTGAAAACTGACCTTTTGTGGCACTTAATAAAACGGTGAGTTGAAGGAAGGAATTGGATTGAATGTCCACAGTGATATATGTCTATATTAGCCGTGATCTGGATGATGTATTGGCTTTGATGTTTGCACCGTGATTCATACTGATCCAGTGGCCATGCTGATCATCTGGGGAATGGTTTGTTCGCCTTATCATCAGTATATGGAACGCCTTTTAGTAAATTATTCGCTCAATTCCCTTAAATCTAGCTAACTCACATGCGATCGTGGCGTTGGTGTGATTTCTGTTGGTGATTTGCCTCTGCCTAGCTCAGTAAATTTTGTTTGCTTTGCCTCACTGACCTAGTATGTCTTTTGATAGTTAAACTTCTTGACTGGGGTGAAGAGGGACAGAGGACCGAAGCTGAAATCGCTTCACTGAGGGCTGCTTTTACCCAAGAAGTTGCAGTGTGGCACAAGCTCGACCATCCTAATGTTACCAAGGTTATGCTTCACCATATTGCTTTCTCTCACTATGCTTTTTCCTTGACCATCATGGTATGCAGAGCCTGGGTATGCATTTCTGTGCCTGCACAATTAGCTTGTGTAGGGACCACCTTATGCTGCATGACTTCTGTCATTGTGTTTTATGGAAGAATTGATAATGGAGAATGGCGGCTAGCCAGCTTTGGTGTGTACTATCTGCCGACTGTGAGTGTTACAGTAGGAGAAACTCAAACTTCCCCTGGTGTCAATCACTGTATTCTCTAAAGGCTGGTTACATTAACAAGTTTCATTAGTTTTCCTTAAGCATCGTAAACATGTAAAAGTATACTTGGTCGACAAATTTGCCATTTTTATGTGTCATGGGAGAAGACTGGACTACGGGTGAGTCATGTTTGTCAAGCGCCATGTAAGCAGAATGATAGAGGGAATAGCAAAACGGCTATGACTGAAATGTCTACTGAAAAAGGTGGTTGAGATGGATGGATATTAATGTGTTTTATAGATCTTTTGCCAAACTTTGACCTACCGGTTTGTGTTATCATCATATAATTTTTTTTTCTTACTTAATAGAGTTCTCTGGAACTTATAATCTCCATGTTAATTGGTAATATTCACTTGCTACGTATATCCATCTTCTCAGCATTCTCCAAAGCTGCAGTGTGGTTTATGGTGTTATATTATATCTTTGTTTCTCTTCCTAACTAACTCAAGAATGCTTTTGGAAGTATTTTCAAGCAGAATGTTAAATGACAAAATAGGATGTGCAAGAACTTTAGCATTGTCCTTCTTTGCTTGTACACAAGAAGTTATTTCTACAGGTTCTAAATTTCAGTCTCGTCTCTCCTTTTCAGTTCATTGGGGCAACAATGGGCTCATCAGATCTACAAATACAAACTGACAATGGTCCAATCAGTATGCCCCGGAATATATGCTGTGTTGTTGTAGAATATCTTCCTGGGGGAGCTCTCAAGTCTTACCTCATCAAGAACAGGAGAAGGAAACTAGCATTCAAGGTGGTTGTCCAGCTTGCACTTGATCTCGCCAGAGGGTATATAATAAAACGCTATGTGCTTTTAATTGGGCGCTCCGTAGATTTCAGCATCCCTAAATGCTTAAGTTAATTTTTATTCTAACTATTGCAGCTTGAGTTACCTCCACTCGCAGAAGATTGTCCATAGAGATGTGAAGACAGAGAACATGCTATTGGACAAAACACGTACTTTGAAGATTGCAGACTTCGGGGTGGCTCGTGTTGAAGCTTCAAATCCCAATGACATGACTGGAGAGACTGGGACATTGGGTTATATGGCTCCTGAGGTACTATAGCAATTTCTGGTTTTTTATTTCCTGATAAGTTGTAGCAATTTTCGATCCGTTCACACTTTGGAGTTTGAAAATTGCATAGTACCATCCAGTAAGGCCATGGGAATCCTTTTTTCCCCCTCTTCTTGTTCCTGTTTCTATCGTTTCTTCTTTTCAGCTTGCAGCATATGTAGCTAAATTGGAGTGATGAGTTGGTGTTTCATCATTTTAAGTAACCGAAAACATGAAGTAGAAGGACCAAAAGTAAAAGGCAGTTTTGCTACAGAATAATAATAGGCGACTCAACAAAACTGGGTGCAGGTACTAAATGGAAACCCATATAATAGAAAATGCGATGTCTACAGTTTCGGCATCTGCCTATGGGAAACATATTGTTGCGACATGCCGTACCCTGACCTTAGTTTCTCAGAAATGACTTCAGCCGTGGTGCGCCAGGTAATGTTTCGGTTCTATCTCTTGTATTATGAGTGGCAGATAGTGAGAAGTAATTCTGCTGCTACTGGGAAGTTGTTGTCTCTGATTTCTAATCCTCTTTTTGGTAACTATATGTGCAACAGAACCTGAGACCTGATATTCCGAGATGCTGCCCGAATTCTCTTGCAAATGTGATGAAACGATGCTGGGATGCTAATCCAGACAAACGTCCAGAGATGGATGAGGTTGTCTCTTTGCTCGAGGCTATTGACACATCGAAAGGGGGTGGCATGATTCCTGTCGATCAGTCACAGGGTTGTCTTTGCTTCCGTAGGTATCGCGGACCTTGAGGAATTAGTTGGTATCATTATTGCTTTAATTTTCAAAGACTATAAATAGCGCTATCGACCTCTAGGGGGAAGGTATTTGCTTACTGTATCTACAGCCGAGAAATAGGGCGGGGGAATTATCAGAAGAATAGGGATGGCAGTTCGTCAATATAGATCAAGGAGAGTGCGTGCCACTGCATATTTCCTTCTTGATTGGTGTAAAGCTTCATTTTCTAATTATTTGTTCTTCTATTCCTCTTTTGCACGTCAGTTTTAGAAGCTTTCGGGATTTCACAAAACTGTGTACTATTTTTGACATACGCAGCTTGGAAAGACTGGGTCGGCCACCTGTACTGTATGACTACGCTTCACTTTCTGTTAATAAAGAACAATTTTAAGACTACCATTCTGTTTTTGCTCCCAAGAACATCTACATCATTGAGCGGAGAACCTGCTCGGCCGAACATACAGGAGACAGATGTTCTGTGACCTTTCGTTTGGTCTGTAAGCATCTAACTGATGGAGTGCAGCATATGTTCTAGACAAATTGCTGATGTATGCCGGGCATTCCTGTGTTTCCATTCTGCTATTTGCCGTTTGGCTGGAAGTACGTCGATTAGTTTTTTACAACAACCATTCATGCCAAACATCGTACTCATGCAAATTAAGTACTAGGGTTAAAAAAAAGAACTGAATCTTGAGGAGCAGAGGACACCGCTTCTGTTTAGTGTCTCTATCTTAAGCACTATATCTTAAGCACCGGAAAGTTCAACCTGGGACGTGGGTTTCCCCTCCGGCCCGTCCCAGTTGGTGGTTCTGTAGTATGTTGCATAGAGAATCAGCTGCACCAGACCAGACAAGGCTCCCAAACCATTCGGCACCTGCAAAAATGTATGGACACACTTACAAAACCAAATGCCCAAAAGATGTCTATAAAAAGCAAGCTTCATCCTCCTGGCAGTTTCAGTTATTGAACTGAAAAATCGTACGCTTTCACTCTCTATTTCCTTAAAGCTAGTACGGAAGAACGTGATTATACTGGAAAGATTTGGATGAAGCAAGTTATATGCGACCGAAAAAGAAGTTTCGATTTGCATGTTTCAAGACTTTACCAGGACGTAGGGATCAAATTTGAGGAGCGCATAGATAGCCCAGATGATGCCGTTGAAGAAGTTGGCGAGTGACAGATAGAAGGGCATGTACCTGACACTTTTTGTCTGGATGACTCGGCGCTGCCAATACCAAAAAGAAGGAAATTCATTGCCGTTTTCTTGGCTGTTGATCAGCAACTTATTAGTTTCCGAGAAAATCCAAATAGTCGACGTACCATGATTGTCAATGGCGAAGTGTACATCGCTATGTTGAAGATGATACACAACATTCCAACTAGTATAGACCTCTTGCCTGTGGTATGGAGAGTCAACACGGCGATCACAACTACTGCAGCCATGAAGATCAGTTCAACGAGAAGCGCAAGTAAGATGTTCCGCTGCGAAATGGTGACAAAAGCACGAAAAACAAATCAGACTACCGAAGCTGCAAAATGAATATAGGACAAGCACTCTCATCTTCTTAGACAATTTAGGTGTTTCAAAAACTTCAAAAACTTACACGTTTGTTCCATGGAGAGTACGTGAAAAATATCGCAATGTAGAAGAGCTCGAGACAAAAACCGAAACCGTTGATTGTGACGACAAGAATGCTGTCCGGATGGACAAAGGGCATGCCGTAGAACATCCACATCGCACAGTTGAGTACCGTCGCTACATAGGGATCCGGCTTGAATCCCGCCACCGATTTTTGCTTCCATATCGTGACGAATGTCGGGCTGATGAGATCCATCCATGATGCAAAGCAAATCGAATTCTACTGTTAATCCTTTGATCAAAATAAGCAAGACAAACCAGACTTTCGTTGGTAACTTATGAGAGGAGTAGAAGTTGCCGAGCTAACTTACATGGGAGACAGGAATAAACCGAAGGAGACGACATTTCCTGCAAAAGGGTTGAATCAAAATATTGAGATCCATGGTCATAATATTGGCATTTCACTATTTATTATATATTTGATTAGTTATTAACGCTTCTCCAAACATACTCTGCTTCATTTCATTATGTAATCCTTCGGTCGCTTAAGGATTTTTCACACATATAATTTGACAGTTCAATGATCACTTTGCACGATAATTTATTCAAAACAGTTATTCGATTATATATGGATTTTTCATGGATTAGGATCTTTGTTCTTCACCTTTGTATTGTACGTTGTTCAGGTGCGTGAATCAACATAATTTATTTACAAATGAGGAGGGGCTTCGAAAAATGGTTCCCATGCATTGTTAGCAGAGCAGCTCTATCCACATATTCAGGTTCATCTTGATCCTGAATTGATCATATCACTAGGTCACAAGAGCCAATGCAAGTCGGCGAGAAGATCTTACATGGACGACGCAAGCAAATAGAGAGGTCGTGCATTGCCGGATCTTCGAGAACTCACCGATAATGCCTATGATCGTTCTGGCCGTCTCGGTGTCCACCATTTTCGCAGGTTCTCAAGGACGAAGAGCAAAGAGATCCAGAGGAGGAAGAGAGAGCGAATGATGCTGCCTAATCTCCGGTCGCTGCGGATTCAAAATCGGCGATTCGGGGTTTTCTCGGTGATTAAGAACTCTGTCTTCCCGTTCCCTGGTCTCAAGCAGACTGCGCAAGTGTTTGCAGTTCCGGATGATTTATATGTACACATTGGAATGCCAAAAAAACTGCGGACATTCTAAATTTGGACATTGACATAGGCATGGCATGGGGAAAAAGGAAACCGACAAACTTCCCGCGACTTTTTCGAACGGATGAAGAGTTTTGGCTTGAGAGGATCGGCGACGTTTTCGCTCGCTCTCTGCATGTAGTGCATGCAAAGTGCCAGGTACGTGTCAAAATAGAACGGCAATGTAGTTTCTTCAGTTTGCATTGTGCGTATGCAAATTGGCTGAAAGATCTAGGTTTTAAATTTCGGTTTTTTTTGTTGATGAAATGGCGATTCGCGGTTGGGCCACATCATCGGAAAGCTCCATCCCTTTTCACTTTCCTTAACATTGATTTGAACCAACCATCCAGACACATCAGATAAAAAGCTTGATTCTTCACTTAATAATATGAGCTTGGAAAGATTATTAATTTGGATGAAATTTGATACCATGGTCACCCACCAATTGAGATTATTTTTTATATGGGGTTTCTATCTAAGTCCCAAAGTAACAAAAATTGTAATTGGATGACGTTTAATTCTGTTTTTAATTTAAAAATAAACTTATGCATTTACTTTGCAATTTAGAATTCATGTATTACAAAAGCTTGAGGATTAATATCACGAAAAACCCCAAACTGGTACATCCATGACAAATTTACCCCAAACTAATTTTTTGACTATTAAAAACCCCAAACTGGTACGCTTGTGACAATTCTATCCTCCGTTAGTTTCCGTTAAATTTTACCGTCAAATATGTGAGTTGGATGACACGTGGCAGTTGACGAATGTACCGGTTTGGGGTTTTACCCTTCATTTATCACAGGAGTATCAGTTTGTGATTTTTCGTAGTATTAATTCAATTAAACGAAGGGTAAATTTGTCACAAATGTACCAGTTTGGGGTTTTTGATAGTCAAAAAAATTAGTTTGGGGTAAATTTATCATAAATATACCAATATGAGATTTTTCGTGATATTAACCCAAAGCTTAAATAATCATATCCTTAAAGTTTGTATGAAAAAGTACTTACTGATTCAACTATTGCTTACTGTATTACACTCATTCCTTCACATAAACGCTCACCACAAAAGTCTTATCAGATCAAACAGTTTCGTAGATTTAGGAAAAACAATCGAGAGTATTTCAAATTTGAATAGAAACTAAAGAAACTTTCAAATAGATAACATATAATTCAGGATGAGCTCCTCCAAAAAAAAAAAATTCATTGGTCCTACTACATTTTTGTTGGTTGATTGATAATTAGTATAAATTATTTGTAATGCAGAACTTTTATATAGTTGATTTTTTTAATAATACTATATAAACAAAGAAAAATATGATCATATTTAATCAAATAATAGCGAGTCAAATTTCAAATCGGTGTAACGCATGCAATTTTCAACTAGTTAAGACTGTATTGATCAATTTGTTTTGTCAAAACACTTGATTTTGCTGGAAAACATTTTCCAATAAGTCGATTTCAAGAGAAAAAGTTCTATTATCGAACATTCGAAAAAGTTATTTCGTACATAACGGAAAAACTCTGAACCCTCTTCTTTTACTGGACGGACTCAAAATAGGGTCTTGAGTTTGCTTGTTGGCGTCTCGGATCTGAGTGCACGGGTGCATGGTCATAGATGCGGCCATTAAGGTCCTATGATCGAACCCTGGGTCAGAATGTCAATATTGTGTTAAGATGTGCGTGTGAGTTGTGTTAGAGAAATCCAATAATGAAAAATTGATGTGGTGAGAATCAATTAATATATTTTAATTGGCCCGCGATCCGAGAAATCGGGATGTCGATGGCAGGAGGAGATCGAGGTGAACTTCGGAAACGATTTCAGCATGTAAAGGTGTAAATCGTTCATCTGAGGCTCATTTCCCTTGAGCGTGGTCAAACAATGTAAAATTGGAGATATACTTTCCGACCATCCGAGCTTTTGCTAAGCAAACAGAAGATTCGCCATTGTCATTTTCAGGATCTTCATCATCATTGTCATTGCTAGTATGGCTATTGTCGTGCCAGAACAGCCTTCGGCATTGCCAAATCCTCTCTCCTACTCAGTGGCTTGTTCAATTACCAACGCTCGATGCATAATTCTCTTGGGCCGGGCCATTTGAGACTTGAAGAAGATCGGCCGGCCGGAGATTAATGGTGATCGGTTTTAGGGTGGGCCGGCTCCCAATTTGTGAAACTGAGAACCGGTCCACCTGGTCTTGAAACCGGGCTGATCGATCTGGTCTGGTTCCCAGATGAGACCAGGAACCGGCAGTATCTCTTCTTTTTTTTGGACTCCTCAGTTCGTCTCCTCACTCGCAGAAATAGAGAGGGGAAAGAGAGTTCGCATTGACATAGATTTGACGGAGAGAGGAAAATTCACTTCGATTTTGCGGGGACTTTGGTCTTATGAAGAAGTTGCTGTCGCACTTCCATGGCTTTTCCGGCGAGACAATCAAAAGCCACGGAAGAGGACACCAACATCGACGCGCGCACGGCGATGCCAATACGCTACCTCTCGCTTGACGACATCTACTCGGCCACGACAGCTTGGCTAATCGCCTGGGATCGTCCATGCTCATGTTGAAGAAGATTAAGGCCCACAAGCTCCCCTCCGTTACCAATCAGTCGGATGGGCCTGAAGTTGAGATCCACAGGATCGATGATCACTTAAGAAGTGGGACTGCAAGGGTAATGATAGTGGCGCTCGTGGTTTTTGCAGGCGTGACCGACAGTGATCCTCGTCAGCGAGGCTGCGAGAGGCGTGACTGAGAGTGAGTGTCGTGAGCGAGAGGCATGAGCGTGACTGAGAGTGAAGAATGGGCAATTACTAATTAGGGTTTTCAATTTTGTAATAATAAGAATTGAAAAAGAAAAAAAAACTACAGTCCGGTTGGTTCAGTCCAAACTTGTTATCAAGTACTAGACCGATTATCACTAGTTCCAAATTTTAGGAATTGGGAACCGTGCAGAATCGGTCGATTTTTGCTCACCCTTATTAGAGATCATAGATGTCACGGACGAAAAAGAAAAGCAAAAGGGAAAAATCTTATCTAGATAAAATGGAAGGGACAAATGAATATTTTTATTGTTGCTCAAAAGCCTTTAAATTTTGAAAAGTTATAAATTACTCGCCATGAACTTTGGCATTGTTGCTAATGGCTCTCAGACTTTGAAAAGTTAGGCTGCGTTTGGTAACTGACCAAATAGTAACCGAATCTATTCTTTTGTTTCAAGAATCAGTTTTGGAACAGAAATCCGTTTGGTAAATTTTTTTGTTCCCAGACACAAATTTGTACAAATTTATTCCCAGAATTAGTTTTAGAACAGAATCAAGAAGCAAAAAAAAAATTGCTTCTTGATTCTGGGAACAAGAATCAGAAATGAAAAAGAATTTTTATTCTTCTTCTTCTTCTTGGTTTTCTTCTTCGTTTTCTTCCTGGCCCGTGGGTCGCGCCGGCCCCGGCCACTAGGCATGACAGTCGAGCCCGGGGGTTGGCAAGGGTCCCTTCTCGCTCGGCGCTCGGCGACCTGCCTATGGGCCAAGGAAGGGGAAGAAGAAGAAAAAAAAAAGAAAAAAAAAGAAAGAAAAATTAAAAAGTTCAAAATATTATTAAAATATTATTAATAAAAAGAAATTTTGGATAGTTGTCAAACGCCTTCAAATGCTTAGAAATTGTTTCCGGAAATGGATAAAAAAGAATCATTTCTTAGCAAAAATTATTTTCGAGAACAGAATAGTTACCAAACGCACCCTTAAAGATTACTTCCCTAAACTTGGATTTTTATTGGAGCCATTAGCTTCTTTTGTCTGCAAAACCCTTAAGTATTACATGATAATGGCTAATTACTACACGATTAATGAAGTCAAGAAAATACAAAAGGAACATGATTAATGATAGGGTTAATACCACGAAAGACCCCAAATTGATACATCTGTGATAATATTATCCCAAACTAATTTTTTGACCACAAAAAACTTCAAATTGGTACACCTGTGACAAATTTAGTTTGTGTTAATTTCCGTTAAATTTTACTATTAAATTGCTGAGTTTGATGATACGTGACAGTTGACGGGTGTACCAATTTGGGGTTTTACCTCTCTATTTGTCACATGTTTATTAATTTGTGACTCTTATGGTATTAATCTAATTTAACAAAGGGTAAATTTATCATAATTGTATCAATTTTGGATTTTTTGTTGTCAAAAAATTAGTCTGGGATAAATTTGTCACAGGTGTACCAGTTTGGGGTTTTTTTGTGATATTAACCCTTAATGATATTATGAAACTTTGGCTGAAGTTGTTTTAATCAACAAAAACGAGTCTGTCCAATTTCAGACAATACTCCACAGCTATGCAGACGGAAAAATTAGCAAATTGAAATAGAAACCAAAGTTCGGGGGTCAACTTGTAACTTTTCAAAGGTCGGAAGTTATCGCACAGCATTGCTAAAGTTCAGGGGAGTTCGAGCAATTATCCCCGAAAAGAAGTCGAATCCATTGATTTATGCGATGGCCAAAACAGCAAGTACAAGCATCTTCCTCTTCCTTTTTCTCTTTTAGTCGCACGATTTTAGCATTTGCAGCCAAGTGCACGCAATCTATTGACTAAGCCTGAGTTGAATCCTACTTGCTTTATGAATTTATGTTATAGCATTTGGTGGTTTTTTTTTTTTTTTTGCTGTGGTGCAAGTCATTATGCTTGTCTCTAACTTAGGAGATTCGAAAACACAGTTGAAGCCTCAAAGTTCGCAGTTAAAAAAAATAAAAAAATAGATCGGTGATAATTTAAACGGGAAAAGAAAGACGTGCTAGTAAGAGAGCGTTCAATAGAAAGGAGAGAATGATTTCAGGGTTCGTTTGGGACGGGATAATCGGTCTAGTAATCTTGCCTACATCTCCCCTAAAAAAGAGAGGAGTTAGGGTTTCGATATGGTTCCCAAACTAGTATTCCATTCAAATATGATCCAGCAGCC